CGAGTGCAATGTTGATGGCTGAATAGTGAAAATGGTCGTGAAACGGTCTCCCAGACTCCCAGTTTCTGATGCATTGCAGGGGCCACCTGCAGACAGCACTGCGATGACCACTCAGTGCGTGAAAACTGCTGTCTTTTGGAAAGGCTACAGCGAAAACTGCCTCTTGACACGACAATCTGGCGTCTTGTGTTCTTTTCTCTCCATTCTCTTGTGCGGATAAGCTCTTTGAATCTAACAACCTACATGTACATGCATATAAAAGATAGTACGACGCATCACGCAGCTTCAATACTAAAAATTGGCTTTCGAGCAACACTGGCTCACAATAAGTCACTGTTTTTCACAAATTATTTAATAAAGGAAAAAGTCAACGTTTCGGGATAACACAAGCACGTACTACGTGTACAATCATGTACATGTACATGTACGTCATGTACATGATTGTACAGTCATAATAATGTACTTGAGTGCATGTACATGTACACGTACAGTACAACCTGGTTTAAGCGGCCACCCCACGGTGCAAGCAAAAGCGGTCGTTAAAGCCAGGTGGTCGTTAGAACCAGGTCCAACAGGTTCAGTGTAGAGCAGTCCGTGCATGGAAAGACGGTCGTTAAGAGCAGGTGGTCGCTAAAACCGGAGGTCGCTTACACCAGGTTTTACTGTACATAACTAATACTTGTACTTGTACAGTAGTTCACCCGCTATCACTGGAGTTACAGAAATTTGTTGGAGGGGGGGGGGGGGAGGGGGAGCCGCTTCCATAGACAACCGGCCTGCTAACTATGCGATAAAAAGATAAATTGAATGGTGGTATCCAATGTAAATGTACTAGCCAGAGAGGGAAAGGAGATGCGCTAATGACGAGTGAGAAAGAAACATCAAGCTGCAGAGTTTTGCCATAACAGAATTGATCTCAAGATGTTCTCTTTTTTTTGCACAGGTCCTTTGTTAATGGGCTTGGGTTTCACCAGAAGCAGGATGCACTGGATAATGAGAGGGAAAGTATGAAGACGAGGCGAATAGAGAAGTGGACATATAAGCCAACGTGAGACAACCGAAGACCTTGAAAACGCATGGCAGTTAGTGTGTACTTTGTCACAGAGATGAAAAGAAAGGAATTGGAAGATATATGTAGCGTGTTGTCTATTCGAAGATATTCCAGCATGCTTCTGGTATAAATTCCCTGTAGAATGCTCTCCTGAAAGAAGTCTTCATCTGAAAATGTGCATGTAATAAATGAACTGAAGGCGCCCTAAATTTGAAAGGATTACAAAAAGGAGTTTGGATTATTCAGTCATTGGACTGAGTTCAAAAGTGAGTAACATGTGAAGACAAAATACCTGCTTCCATTAGAACTGGAACCAGTGATGACATTCGTTATAAGCTAGCGGTGCTGGGCAATTACATTTACATGTATCCTAGGGTGTGCTACCTAACCAAGTAGGCAGCGGTATAAACTCCAAAAAAACCATTACTAATGAGAGTACACAGCAAACATGCACGAAATAGAAGTAAAATTTGGCAATCGCAGCAGCACCATTGTACGTAACAGGCATTTACTCTTCTCAAAGTTCAATCAAACGTCAAACATGTATGTATTTTTGAAGTAATCAATTGCCACATCGGCCAACAGCGGGCGGGCCACACGCAAACAGAACACCCGCATCAAGCATTCTCTTGCTGGACCTCCAGATCATGCATTATTTCCTTGAAGCACGGACGGGCCGCTGCCTCTGGTCTCCAGCAGGCCTCGACCAGATGTCGGTAGTCGTACGGCATTCCAGGAACATGAGGCAGCTGGTGGCCATTCTCGACGGCCTTCTCCATGTCACCTCTTCGCTTCAAATGTCCATAGGGAGTTTCTCTGGTGAAGATCTCCCACACTACAACACCACAGCTGGGGGGTAGAGAAACCATGGCAGTAGCACAGAGAGAATAAACACATGGAACTTTAGATACACTAGCAGGCAGGCACAGTGGGATGCTCAAAGACAACTTTTGAGAAACGGAGGGTACCAAGTTCAAGTCCTGCTTGGAAGTGGAAAGATTTTTCCAGCCGTGCTGCGACCCACAGTTAATTGGGAACTAGTGGCCTCGCACGAGGGAAGCATGGATGCAGCGAATGGGATTTTCGGTCTTTTACTATTTGATGGGTCTGTTCTACTCACCTCCCATCGCTTTAGGAGCTGCATCTGCATGCTGATTTGCTGTCCTCCAACCAAGAATCTATTTTTAAGTATTCCTGCCCAACATTATGGTTCCGCTGCTGTTCGTCCGCTAGAGATCGCCTCCTCCACATGCGCGCTATGCCGCGCTAGAAAAGCCTTTCCAAGCTGCTCCAAACCGAGCCATCACGGAGACCTCGTCAAGGTGGTGCTGAGTGCAAAGGCGTGGTGCATTCATGTGCGACACGTCACTCTGCAGAACACACGGCAATGTGGTTCGAGTTCTCCCTTTCCTTCCGCGTTTGCCAATGGTCCCAGACATACATGCACCGTACTTCCAGGATTCTTCGATTCCGAGGTTCTTTATGGAAATAAACCAGGAGTGCAGATACCCAATCTTCACACTCACCACATAACAAGACCAAAGCTTCACTCCAGGACCAAGGTGAACGTGCAAGCAACGGAACAGCAACAACAAAAACCGATCGATGCAAAGCACCGCTTTAAATCATTCAACGCGCAAGGAGCGAAGTGAGCAGCCAGCCAGCCAGAAAAGCATGAATAGTGAGAGTTCTACTCCTAACGATAATCGTTGGGGAGGCATATCGTCGCCACAGCAAACACGTCATGAAAAGAGGAGCCTTAATGCAATACAGATAAAGTAACAACACACACGGGTGATGACACTTGTATAGCTGCTCATTGGAGATGATGTTGGGGGTATGTCACGCCTAAGGCTATTATGTTCCATTATTGCGTACAGTGAAAGATATCAAAGTCCCGAGCTGCAGCTTGCGTCAGGCTGCATGTCGCGCAGTTGTACAGCAGATGTGGCTTGGCATAGGCCCAATACAGTTGCAGTCTCCGGTTCTCGCTGATCTTGCTTCCACAATGCACAGAAGCCCCAGGAAATATGCACGCACTATCGCCTTCGGCGGGGGTATAATTACATTGCAAAGAGATCCATGATCTCATGCACACACGACAATGCCTCTATAGAGGAAAAAGGTACAGATCAAATTGCGCCACCAATAACACCACATCACGTATTGGTATTGGTATTGGATATTTCTTACATGTATGCTGTGCAAGGAACACACTTGGACTTTGGGTTGATCGACCCCACGGGCATCAGCATCGCGTTTACTATCACAGCACCCAGCACACAGTTGATGACGCCGCATCCAGGCCAGCTAGCTATCTCAGCAGACACACAATACGTTTCGACATTTTGGACGCCAGTACTTATAAGCCAAAAAGCGAAGAAACACTAGTCAATCAGTCGACAAGCCAAAGCAGTCGTTTTCATTCAGCTTGTTGGCCTTGGAGCACTGTCGTTTTTACCTAACAACGACTGCGTCTCCAGAAATATTAACTTTCTATAGGTTTCACTGTGCAACGCTCAACATACATGTACAAGGGTGACGGAACAGGGATAGCGAAGCATACACACATTTTAGACCGTGTCGCAGATGAAGACGTGCATCACGAGTAACGAGACGCGTTACAGTGTCCAGTGATACGTGCGAAGATGATGTCGAAACGTCCTGCAGACGGCACATGTAGGTCCAGGCACTCTTCCGTGGGGTTTGCCGTTCCTACTGCCACCTATGTGCTTCTCTTGCGATTTGCTGTTCTCCTGGCTGCGGCCAACAATGTCCCGTCAGACCCGGTAAGTGGATGGAAGTCGGCGTCGCCCTTAGACTTTCATCGTGTTGCGCAGTATCCCATGAATATTAGAAGATCATCCACTCTGTACAGTACTCGCCAGTCTCCAGACAGGACACTTCTTCTCCAGTCTACTCGATATCGTGAAGGTGAGCACATCATAATGTTGGAGTCCAGAAGAATAAATCAATCCTCTCCTGAACGTATAGATTACCTTCTCGCTATGGATGTGTCTCTACCCGGTTTCAGATCCTGGAGACATGTGGCAGATTTGACATACGCGGGCCTAGAGGCAAAGTGCCTCCGGATTAGGTTGTCCATGCCGTCTCTTGCTGTATCCCCCGACAGAAGAGACCTGGTTATCTATGACTTTGGACCCTGGTCGGAATGTAACGTGATGTTTGTGTGGAGGGATATGCAATTGCAAAGAGTCCAAACACCTGCTATGACTACAAGCAGTGGGAGGTACTTGCAATCTATAGTAACAATGGCTGATGATCGACCAAACATGTATCGTGTCTTCGCGTATGGGGGCCTTCGGTGCAGTGCCGCAGTTCCCGAATCAATCTCGGAAGCGGTCCGCTCCAATAATGCGGAAGCCGTTTGGGCGAAGTTGAGCACGTCCTGTAAAGTGTGCTCTGGCCTTCGATACATGCGCATTCGAAGCAGCAGGGGAGTGATACATGGCACGCGATGGGAAGTCCTGCAAGTGGCGCAGTCTGAATCTAGCCCTGGTCCTCTTGTCCTGCCATCGCTTCTTGCCTTCAACGGCACATTGCTGGCGTTCGGGGGGATGCATGGGTACAGTCCTTCAGTTCCTGGTAAGACAACACCTGATAAAAGTCACTGTGCTTTCTGGATATACCGTGTTCAAGATCGCATCTGGATTCCGCAACAAAGCAACCTCACAACCATGTGTTCCATAGCAGAAAAAAATAAGTTTACACCAGGCATGGAGATGTACCACAGCCATCCGCATGCTGTCTGGCTTGCAAACGGCCCTTCAATTCTCCTGCACTACTCTGATTGTTATCAGCGCGTTGCAGACATTTGCATTGTAGAAACCGGTAGCCAGCCAAGCGTCGTATCCTGTCACCGAGTCCTCAACCAGAGGTCGAAGATAGAGGCACATTTCAATGTCCTTGAGTGGAAATTATACGAGAAAACAAGATTACCTCAAGTTGTAGGAAGTCTAGTGGGCGCTTTCTACAGCACAGCTAGACAAGATTGGTCGTTCAAGGCTGGATCCGTATACACGCTTCCAGCCTCAAGCCGTGCGGTCTCCGCCAATAATTACGCGGAAGAAGTAATATACGACTCCTTTCTGCCACCCTACCCGTTCCCGGGCCAGTTAGGACGCCAATCGATGAACCCTGTAATGCAAATGTGGAAGGGATGTGAAAGGGATCTCTTTTTTGGAGTATCATACAGCACGTACACAGGGGCCGCGTGGCACTATAAGAATATGGAACTTTACGATACCATGTACTGGATCTTGGACACAAGAACGAATGAGTACGAGACAAGAGCAATGGCGCAGTGCACGAAACGTCCCATGATGATAAGCCCTGGTTCCACCGCCACGAAGCTGTCCAATGACGTGGTCGTCTTGTTCGGAGTAGGTCATGACAATACAGGCCACATGCCCAAAAGCATCACTTTGTGCATCAACATTCTGAATTTCACTTGTGTCCAGTTTGAAAATACTGGTACAGAGCAGCCATCACATCGCTTTGGACACGTCGCTATGCAAATCGACGACATGAACTTGTTGATTTATGGAGGCACGGAAAAGAACACAATACGGTTTTTATCCGATATCTGGGTGCTGCTGTTTGAGGATCTTGGGAGATGCAGAGGTGCGTGGAAGAGGCTGGAATCCCCCCGGAGCCTTCTTGGGCCAGAACTGCCGTCCCTTGAGATGGGTCTAGCGACGCGGGTCAACAATCTTCATTTCGTGATTTCCACCCACGGATCAAAATGCTACGATCACTTATTGGCATTAGATACATCTGATTACAAGAATACCGGCATAGTCAAGATCCATCAAATTCCCGTAACGGGGGCTACGCCATGTCCACTAATAACAGAAGGCGCGGACCTTGTTAAGTACAACGAGAACAGTCTGTTGATATTTGGTGGAATCGGAAAGTGGATATCGCAAGCACAACTTATTCTTCTGAATTTCTCTAACCTACAAGCGCCAGCCAAAGTGATGCCCTTCGTCTTTCAGGGAGAGCAAACTATATTAAACGGGCACCACATAGTGAGAGGAGAACACCTCTATGTATTTTCGGGTAAGGCTGAAGGCAGCAGTCGAGGGGACTATCTAACAATTCAGGAGGGACTTTGTCCTCTTGGGTACTATCTGAACGACAACATGAACTGTCAACCCTGTCCCAAAAGCTTCTTCGCTCCAGCTCTCCGTGGTGGATGTAGACCCTGTCCAGAGTTCACAACAACTTTGGCGGAGGGCTCGGCTGCATGCATCACGTTATCGCCGTGTCACGGTCAGGCTTGCAATGGTCACGGGATGTGTGTTGTGAAAGAATTGATTGCCATGTGCCAGTGCGATTTTGGGTACGTGTCTCACGACAACTGTGGGTTTCCGCTTGTTATTGCGGCCATTGTGACAGCTATTCTTCTTCTCCTATTAGTCATTGGCTTCGCCGTCCGAAAATATTACAAGAGAAGCCAGCAGCTCAAAGTCAAGGAGATCGAACTGCGAGATAAACACAAGAGCATGCGACTGTATCAGAAGAAGCTGGATCAGATCAACAAGGGAGCCAGAATACAGTGGTCATCGCTGCACTGCACCAAGAAACTGGCCAGAGGCGCATTCTCGCAAGTGTGGCTAGCAGAGTTCAGCGACATGTTAGTAGCTGTGAAAGTCCTTCCTAAGTTCACTGGTAGAAACATCACCCAGACTGATCAGTTCGTCCAAGAAGCTGAAGTCCTGCGTTCAATTCGTCATCCAAATATTGTCATCTTTCTAGGAGCCGGCAATGATCACTCGAGTAAACGACCGTTTCTCGTCATGGAGTACTTGCGACGGGGCTCGCTCTATCACGTGCTCCACGACAGAGACAATGTCTTCACACATCATGATCGCTTGAGGTTCGCCCTGGACACGGCCCGCGGCATGGCATACCTGCACGGCTCCAACCCGCCGCGTCTGCACAGAGACCTGAAGTCGCCCAACCTGCTAGTCAGCGATAAGTGGGTGGTGAAAATCGGAGACCTGGGTACGTCACGGTTCATGGCCATCCTAGATGAGGAGAACTCAGCGGGAGGAATAGCCACGACCGACCCGCAATCCTCTCAGACGGAAATCGCGGCCATCCAACCCAATATATCCAATACTGCTGACATCAGCAGACCGACTGCTGGAGCACCCATCAGAAGACGTGATTCCCAGTGCACATTAACATTATCAGAAAGTCTGGAGACCAGCCTGTCAACACCTCTGCTCACGGATGTCTCTACAAGGCATGGTGAGACGTACCTGCATTACTCAGCATCCGTGATGACTCGTGGAGTCGGCACACTGCGCTGGAAATCACCGGAGACGGTTCGTGGCGAACACTACAACGAGAAGGCTGACGTCTACAGGTAAGGGAGTTGCTGTGACCTGATGGATTTTAATTCGTATCTATAGGAAGGTCAGCAGTGCAGTTGTTGCTGTACGCTTCCTGCGTCTGTTTCAGTACAGTGATAATTTTACTTGGTACATCATTCTTGTGAAAATGAAAGGGATATAATAATTAATGAATGCACGGAAACATAAAGTACAAAACAAGCCTCGAATGTCGACTGTTACAGGACGATGACGAGACCAGTAAGATACTTGAAAAAGCGGCCCAGTCACGATCAGAAACAGCAAAACAGTGCAACACCCAATTTCCTTCAATACTCATTCTGTATGAAATGAAATTTCACGGCTAGCATGAGACTCGGCTAAAGGCCGAGATTTCCGCATCCGTAGGAACGCCACGGCCCTTCAAGGATCAAGGCGCAGATGCAGCTCCTAAAGCGGTGGAATGTGAGTAGATCAGCTCACCAGCGCCGGAGTGGTCAAAATCCCATTTACTGCATCCATGTTTTCCTCATGCCCGGCCACGAGTTCACAATTAACTGCCGGTCGCAGCACGGCTGGAAATATTCCTTCTGCATCCAAGCAGGACTTGAACCTGGTACCCTCTTTTTCTCAATCATGGTCTCCGTGTCACTATGCCTGCCTGCTCCGTATGTAAATGTATAAATGTGATGTTTAGAAACAAGTTGTTTCACACAAAATACGTTTAGCCCTTTGGTTTGCGATTGCTTATGATGTAACTTACTTACTAAGCCATTTGAAACTCGGATGATGAGCTAATAATCAATATAAACAGGAAAGCACACCTAGACGGTTTATCAATTGCATATAAGAACTAATTCATGGTTCACGGGAGACTCGGCTGAAGGACCAGTTTTCCACATCCGTAGAAACGCCACAAACCCAAGGATCAAGGCACAGCATGCTGATTCAGATCCTAACGCGGTGGGAGGTGAGTAGATCAGACCGAAAATTCCCATTTGCCGCGTCCATGCTTCCCTCGTTCCAGGCCACGGATTCCAAATGAACTGTGGGTCGGAGCATGGCTCGAGAAAATCCTTCCGCTTGCAAACAGGGCAATGAACCTGGTACCCCTCCGCTTCTCCAAAACTGTCTTAGGCCATCCCACTATGCCTGCCTGCTAGTTTATCTAAAGCTCCATGACTTGTGTTTATTCTCTCTGTGCTGTTTCCATTGTTTCTCTACCCCCAGCTATGGTGTTGTCGTGTGGGAGATCTTTACCAGAGAAACTCCCTATGGACATTTGAAGCGAAGTAGTGACGTGGAGAAGGCCATCGAGAAGGGCCATCAGCTGCCTCTTGTTCCTGGAATGCCGTACGACTACCGGCATCTGGCCGAGGCCTGCTTGAGACCAGAGGCAGCGGCCCGTCCGTGCTTCAAGGAAATAGTTCACGATCTGGAGGTCCAACAAGAGAATGCTTGATGCGCGTGTTCTGTTCGCGTGTGGCCTCTGTTGCAATTGATTATTTCAATAGTACATACATGTACATACATGTTCATATTTGATTGATATTGGAGAACAGTAAATGCCTGCTATATACATGTACATATACGCTGGTGTGAATTCCAGCAGAAATCCAAGAGACCTCGATACCGGGAAGGTAGAGCGGTGACACACTGGTCAGAACAACAGATGGCTTGATCAGTCCCAACGAAAAGTTTCATGCCATCTCAGGCACTCATCAGGTGATATGAACATCAAGAAAAATAACCCACTATCTTAGTACCGCGATCCTTACTGGCTATGACACTGTATCGGATATGAGTTGACAGCGCCGCTAGCGCTTTCTGTTATCCTTGTCCCGCCATACTGGGCTTTAGATAGTGGGTTATTTTTCTTGATCTTCATGTCACCTGATGAGTGCCTGAGATGGCATGAAACTTTAAGTTGTGACTGATCAAGCCATCTGTTGTTCTGACTAGCATGTACATGTACATGTATAATGATGCTTTTGCAGTTGCCAAAATTTCCTTCTATTTCGTGCATGTTTATTGTGTACTCTCATGAGTAGAGGTTTTTTTTGGTAATAAACATACAAATTATCTTCGTAGTTCAATTAATGTGCCTGGATTCCACGCGCCTGACAGGCAACATGGCGTTCGGAGTTTGAGCCGCTGTCTGCTTGGTTAGGTACCACACTTTAGCATACATGTAATTACCGAGCACGGCTAGCCTATAACAAATGTTGAGACTGGTTTCAGTTCTGATGGAAGCAGGTATTTTGTCTTCACATGTTCCTCCCTTTTCAAACCCATCCTGACTGAATAATTCCACATCCGTTTTGTATTCCTTCCAAATTTAGTGCGCCGTCAGTTCATTTAATACTAGCACATGGACATTTTGAGATGAAGCCTTCTTTTCATTCTACAGGGAATTTACATGTATACTTGAAGCATGCTGGAATCCCTTCGAATATACATATACATCCAGCCATACATGTATGGATCTTCCGATTCCGTTCTTTTCATCTATGTGACAAAGTCCACGCTAACTGCCATGCGTTTACAATGTATTCTGTTTTCTCACTTTGGCTTATGTCCACTGCTCTATTCGACTCATGTTCATACTTTCCCTCTCATTACCCGGTGCATCCTGCTTCTGGTGACACCCAAGCTCATTTACAAAGGACCTGTGCAAAGAAAAGGGGATATCTTGAGATCAATTATGTTATGGCAAAACTCTGCAGCTTTACGTTTCTTTCTCACTCATCATTAGCGCATCTCCTTTCCCTCTCTGGCTTGTACAGTGCTTGCAACTGAAATCCGACCCCTGAGCGGCGCGGCACGCAGCCAAGGGGGTCGGATTTCAGTTGCAAGCACTGTACATTGTATACCACTCTTCTGTTTCCCTATTTCTTGCACAGTTGGTAGACCGGCTTTCTATGGAAGGGGTTCCCCCCCCCCCTCTCCTATAAATTTCTGTAACTCCAGTGATAGCGGGTGAATGCCTGGACAGGGTGAAATCCGACAGAATACGTAATGCACTGTATTCGTCGAGTGTATTCTGGTGCTAGATGCGTGTAGCACAAGGCGCATTAGGTCATATCTTACCTACACGTACACGTAAGTAACATGAATTTTGTGCATGTGTACGGTGCACATGTAGGTGCTGCGATCAGAAACTCTACAAGTGCAAACGCCTTGTTGATACTGTCCAATGCACATTATTTTACATGACATTCTACATGGTTTTACATGTACATGTATGTTGGACTCAGTAGAGCGTCCAGCCCCTATATGATGTCCAACCCCTATATAGAGTCCATTGGTCCAAAATCCACTGTACCGAGTCCAAACTTGGAATCAACTGTGAGCTCAAAGTTTCGATGGACATCACTCCCTGTATAGAGTCCAGCCAATTGGCTTCACCCCTATATAGAGTCCATTGGTCCAAAATCAACTGTACGAGTCCAAACTTTGAAATCAACTATAAAGAGTCTTTATGTGGACAACCCCCCTGTATAAAGTCCAGCCAATTAGGCATCCCCTATCGAGTTTGAAAATAGACATAGGATCTGCTGTAAGCAGTGAATATTAACCAGAAAACGGCCTCTCCCTTTAATCCTTTACATCATTCACTTCTCAAGATAAAAAAATATGTATTGAGGCGCCACTGCAGCCACGTCATTACATGAAAAACCCTACAAACACCATCCTCAAATCAAGTGGTCTCTTCGCAGACGCCGCAAATTACAATATCTCAATCATGTAGTGTTGCCAAATTATTGTGCACGCACACACACATGCACACACCCACACAACGCAAAGAAAATACCTAGAAAAAAAAACCAAGAATCGAAAGAGAATAATGGAGAGCCCAGGATTAATTATTTGTTTTTAAATTATTGTGTGCGCGCTTCCGCACACACACACACACACTTATACAACGCCAAGAAAACACCAAGAAAAGAGTAGAAACACAATACACACGCAACTCCAACAGCCATGCAAACGTCCACCCATTTACATGTAAAGTCAAGAGGGATAACAAATAATTATACGAAACGAATGCGTACGGGGACGGGCACACGCACGTTTACATACACGTAGTAGTGTAAGAGAGTAACATAGTGCAGTGGTCAGCATAATACTAGCACATGCTGAGAGTGCAATAGGAAGCTTCACCATTGCTCATGGCCATGCAAATGTTCAGCAGCACTCAGTTCCGCAAGCTTCTGAAGATCAGCACACCTGCAACAAATAGATAGCACAAGGATACGCTTATTGCCGTAATGATGCATGGGAGCACACAACTACCAAGTTCTCAACGAATGTGATGCTCAATGAAAATCAATCCACTCAAAGACCTGTGAGCAGGTGATGGTGGGTACAATAATCTATTAGTAATACGAGGAATAAGATCGTTTGTGCACACTCAAAACGCACAGACACACCAACATACATGTAGTGTACACAGTGTTTCACTTCACTGCAACTAAATTGAAATGAGATGATTTGAACAATCTGTACAGCGTTGCTGTCAGTCAGTCTTCCCCAAGATGGAAATGCAATGATTTGTTGTCACGAGGCAGTTTCACTGACACAATGTCATGTTCGTGACATCAAAACGGTTACTTCAGGGAATACGAGTATTAGCTTGAGAAGCTTTTTCTTGTCATTGGCATACAAGCAATCCTCCTAGTCCTACTACTACTAGTACACTGGCACTGCGTTTGTGGATCCCATTGTATTCGACATCATCTACAGGAAGAGTGTCGTGGAGTTCACATAATTATCACAGGGATAAAAATACATTTCTCATGAAATAAAAATTGATGATAGCTAGACGATCATATACGATTGATGCAAAGTCCTTGCAGTCCTTGAGGACTATTACGAAGTGGTTGATTACTTTTAGGGCATTCATTCAAGCAACATCAAACAAACGCGATACGCTCCTTGAAAATGGAAAAAAATTCAAGCATAACGACAGAACAGCAGACCAATCGAAACGAGTAAAAGCTTCCTTACCTCAGTCATCGTCCTGCCATGTAGTTGGACAGCCTTTTGACACGGTGGTACAGGCAGCTCTTGTCCAGTCAAACAGGGGTATCCTTGTGGCGTCGAACGAAAGAGAGTGTCAGTGTATCTGACTCGTCAGATTGCAACTGTGCTGAACTTTTCTCTTTCCCCGCTTTCTGCTTTCATCCCTCGCTCTGATGAAACCGTTTAAACGTCTTACTGGCAGCAATGGCCAGCCAAACAGGGGATCCTTGTGGCGTCGAACGAAAGAGAGCATCAGTGTACCTGACTCGTCAGATTTGAACTGTGCTGAACTTTTCTCGTTCTGCAATTTCTGCTTTCATCCCGCGCACTGATGAAACGTCTTCAGAGAACCACAAGACGCTTTCCAGATTTGATTTTGAACGTCTCCTTATCCTCCTTGGTTAGCTCGAGACAGATTACTGTCAGCAACTGCACAGCAGAATTGGCAGCCATGGCTGAAGTGAAGAAAGGAATGCGCTGCCACGAGGCAAGCAAAACTGAAATTTTTTTAAAAATGTGTTCTCTTTCGGGGCACAACACACAGGACGGCGTGACTGGATAAACTGGACTCCTGGACCGTGAATAGGGGACTTGTAGAAAAAATGTACTCCTTATAGGGGATTGCGCGGCAGGATGAAGCTGATCAAAACTGAGTGGACTCCTGGACTCTGTATTGTGGATTTTGGACCAATGGACTCTATATAGGGTGCTGGACATCATATAGTGCATGGACTCTATACTGAGTCCTACATGTATATCTGTCAATCTAACAATGTATTGTCGTGGACATGTAGATGTAGATGTAGATATTGTTGATCCGTTGAGCACGGTTTTCAACACAGTGCGTCCTCCGCCTTGTCAACCAATCAAAAAGTAATTTTTGGTGATGCCATCTTCAGTAGGTCCGTCAAATAGTAGTGGTAGATTTTTCTTTTCACCAGACGAGACGACGCCTTCAGACACCAGCACGAACACTGCACCAGTCACACTCCACAACAGCTAGAAGTTGTTCCTGACAAGCCTTGTTTCGTTCCATTATGGTGTTGGGACTCATCAGAGGAGAGGAAGATGTTGAATGAAATGGTTTGAACTATTATTGTTTTGTGGAAGATATTGGCGCTGTGCGAGTACACTCCACGAACTATCATGTGTGACTAATCAACACGAATGAAATAGTGCAGAACGGAGGTGTTATGAACACTACCGACACAACTTTCTCAGGTGCTAAGTCAATCACAAGGAGAAAGAGATGAGTTCCCAACACCATAGGGAACGAAACAAGGCTCGTCAGGAAAGACTTCTAGCTGTTGTGGAGTGTGACTGGTGCAGTGTTCGTGCTGGCGTCTGCAAGCGTCGTCTCGTCTCGTCTGGTCAAAAGAAAAATCTACCAAATCAAAAAGCGCAAAACATTCTACTACTTGTAGCTGAAAGGGACTCAAGTGAGATATCTTTATGGTTTGGCGTTTGATGAAAAGTCTGGACCCCTTTCTCAATGAAATACATGTACATTTAGATTCAATAGACTGTCCGGGGTATTTTATAAATCATTCCTACACGCATTGCTGAACTGAAACAGTAAAACTTAAAATGGACAGTTCCAGCCGCATCTCAACCCATGCCCTCAACGCCAGCCACTTTTACTGACAATCGATAACCAGTGCTACATGTACATTGTAGTATCACCATGTATTTGTACAGTTTCAAGAGCCTGATAGTACAATGTCATGTACATGTACAGTACATGTGCAAATTTTTAAAGAGATTACTTGAAGTGTCCCATTAGAACGGTTTCTATCATTATAGAGTTTTTCAGTGGAATTGTCATGGCGATGGTGACGTCCGATCAGATCGACCATCTCCACGCACTACGTGACGTAGCTATTCCAAACTCTTCGAAACTAATCCACCTCTCCCATCGGGTGCGGTTGTGGAGTTTCGAGGAGCTTCGTTTTTGTGAAGAGGCCAATAAGGGCACCTCTTCAGAACAACGAAGTTCCTCGAAAAGTCAAAGAGAAACAATTCGAACGCGCCCTAAGTCAGGCGTATTGCCGTGTACATGTAGGTCAAGGATAGAAGTCGTATACATGTGCAGTACAAGTGATCACGAAAACTAGCCGATCGTAATGTACGTGAGGAGGACATTACTGTAAAGACCTGATGCCAAAAGAAACCTTTGTACCTTTAAACTATAGGGATTAAAACCATTATTTTGTAAAATGTAGGAAATGCCGGCGTCGCCGTTCATAGATGGTTGTCGCTCTTTGATGAGGTATGCTTCCGTATAATTTCGTAGGGAGAGTTGTTGAACACGGCGACAGACGACCAGTCTTGACCAATCGATGGTGTGGCCAGTGTCGAAAACGTGCTTAGCAACACCGTTGTCCATTTTTGTATGCTGACGTCACATTGATGTTCCTCTATCCTCGTTTTAGGCATTCTTCTCGTTTTGCCAACATACCCCGCTCCACAAGTATGACAGAATAGGGAATAAACCACACCATGCAACTCCATGGGTCGAGGAGGGAGGGGGGTTCTTACGAGTAAGGACGTCTTTGAGATTCTAAGAACAGCGATGTACCACACGAAAGGATGAGTTCTTCGTTTTCCTTTTAATCCTCCCAGA